TTTTTTGTGGGCTTTATACCAAGCACAGTGATGTTTACAAGTCAACTGTACCCAGTTGTGTCATCCGGCCCAACAGTCTCAATTTGGGATTTAAGGTTTAGGTCTTTTGGTTCTTATTTAGGGTTTAGGGTTTGCATTCTTTAGGGTTTAGGGTTTGCACTAGTAAACCATAAATGCAAGCCAGTAGCTCCTTTGCCGATGCTCCGCATGACGTAAGCGTGCAAAGGAGTGCTGATAGAGCGACCTGCGTTGGCAGCTGCTACACATGCTTTGTTCCACATAGTAGTACCATATAATAATCGCTGCAACAAGTAAGCTGACGCGAGAGCACCATGCCACACATGTGGATAAGACCGTCGCGACCCTTTTTTCTTCTGTCACTGCGCTTCAGCAGCAGCTCCGGACTTGAAAGGTATTGCACGTCCTAGTCGACGCAAGATTAAATCGCCTAGCTGGCTCATCAAAGCAGCACAGTGCAACGTCTTTGCAGAGTAAACTATGTTAAATCTATCTTCCCAGCTTATGTGTAACCCGGATGTCGAAGCACTAACTGGCCCTAATACATAATAGCCTAAAGCCCCATACAGCCCTAAATCCCTAAAACTCTGGATGTTTGCCGGAGATTATCAGGAATTTTGTATATATATTATTAGTATTCGGCAGACTGCCACATCCTGGCTGCTTGAATGGCCCTGGCATAACAACGGGTGCCAAAACTCCTACGGATCAGCTATCTCGAGATAAGCTGCGATAGCCTACCATCTTCAGATACACCACACAGGCATTGCCACCTGCTCGCTCATGATCAGCGGCGATTGCCAGCCTTGGCCTTGGCCTTTCCCTTGGGTTCCTTCGGAGGGGCCTGAGACACATTTGCATGTAGCTGAAACTGGAGCATTCAAGAGCATGCCTCGTACAGACTGAATCATCTACTTGAAGCCCAGCTACAGTTGCAGTTTTCACAGCCTTCATCTTGCCATTTAGCACCAGGAAGGCGCTGTCCACGGCCCGTATGACCGTGTCGTACACGGCTCTCTCCTCACCCACCTCAGATATTATTTAGTGCTAAGGAGGGCAATTAGATTGGAAAGTGTAGCATCCGTTTTCTAGGTATCTAGAATTCGACTGACCGGGGCACAATGTCGGCATCCTCAAGCTTTCGGGAAAACCAGGACTCCAGCTGTGCCCGAGCATCCTCCACTGCCTTCTTGCCAGCGTTGAGCTCATGCTCGTAGCCCTCGATCATCTTCTCGGACCTGAGCAAATTAAAAGGGTTTAGGGTTTAGGGTTTAGGGTTTAGGGTTTAGGGTTTAGGGTTTAGGGCTCTGAGGTCTGGAGACTTAAGCCCGAAGGGTTTGCAGGCGTGCAAGGTACAGCGACTTAGTATGGCATACCTAGCTAGGCATCTGTAGTATTAAGCTTTTGTAGGGCGGACATCACTGGGCACAGACTTCCAATCCACAATCCTGGGGCTGCAGCAAACTGACCCCTCCGTTATGTGTTGAGTGGGACACGGAGGGCACAGGAACACACATATAGGGACAGCAGATATAAAAATAATAACCGCAATATTGTCATGAGGGTGCATTAACCAAACCACTTATTCCTACTACAATCTAGAATTGTAGGTGAGGGGCAGCATGGGGGCACCGGGCAACTCCGTCGCCAGAACTCGGGCTTCAGCCAGTTTCGAGGATATTTGGGAGAGTTTCGTGGTCGCGGCTTTTCGGAGGGAGGGCGCTTTGCCTTTGCCCTTTGATTTGGCAGGCGGTGGCGGGATGTTCGTGCTTGCGCCTGGGGTGGAGCTTGCACCTGGGGTGCTGGGGGGCGTAGGAAGTGCCCTGCCAGGCTGCGCCGGCTCGATCCTGTAGTTCGCATTGGCAGGCGCACCCGGCTGGTGGTAGTGCTGCCTCAGCTTTAATGCACCATATATAGGGTTTAGGGTTTAGG